GCGCACGCACGCACGCACGCACGCACGCACGCACGCACGCACGCACGCACGCACGCACGCACAGGTTCTTACAGTTTTAAAACAGATTCTGTATCAGAGATAAAAACACAGTCAGTCAGAAAGAATGAGCCTGTTTATTAGCCCTCATGTTAATCATCATCATCATCATCATCATCTTCCTCTCCCTCGGCCACCGACAGTCTCGTGGCTCGGGTTCATACACAACTCTATCTGTCAATAGAATCTAATAGAAAAATCTGCAGGTTACAGTTCAGACGTGTGTCCATTAGAAAAACAACAGAAACCATGAAACCAAAAAACTCCGCCCCCTTCAGGACCAGGGGGCGGGACTAGGAAGATCTAAACTGGAGTGGACCGGAGGTGTCAGGTCCAGTCCTGGTTCTGGGACGTTGGGGGGGCTTGGTGCGACCCCCGCTGACCAGCTGGTTGCTGGTTTAGTCCACACCAAGCCCGGAACTGGGTCTGGACTCCAGGCCTCCGTCCACGTCCATGTTTTTTAAATCATTTTTTTTGGAGGGGTTGGGAGGTGGGGGAGGGGGGTGTGGGGGGTGTGTCAATCAGTTCACCCCTTCACTACAGATCTCCTCGCCTCCGAGCCGCCACGCTAACAAGGTTCAACACGCCTGCGACGATAACGCTCAGCTCGTGACGCGTCTGTCATCACATGGTCCGAATATATGGAGGAGCAGTGAAAAAGAAAATCATTTTTCCTTCATTTCATATTTTAATAGACATTAAAATCAGGAATTTATAAATGAACAATCAATCATCAATAAATACTTCAGGTTTAAAAATGGATTCACATACATGAATGTTAGCGAATCGCTTAGCTTCGTCATTTAGCTTCTCCTGTTAGCCTTTAGCCTTCAGTGCTGAAAAACCAGCTAAAACAACACACTCTCTGATTGGCTGGAGAGCTAACCAGTGGGGCTCACCAGCAGTGAAGGCTAAAGGCTAACAGGAGAAGCTAAATGACGAAGCTAAGCGATTCGCTAACAGGAAAAGCAGCTGGAAAAAATAAATGGAAATTGAAGAGTAAAATGTTTAAATGTCTTTTCATATTGTATTATTTATTCATGAATTAATAATTGTATTTATGAATGGTTTATTTAATGAGAGTTTTAAACTGTTTTTGTGAATCCATTTTTAAAGTATTTATTGATTGATAAATTCTTTTTACAGTTCCTGTTTTTAATGTCTATTAAAACATGAAATGAAGGAAATGCTTTATTACTTTTCTGTGACATCACTGCTCGTCCACACGATGACAGACGTGTTGAAAAGCATCAAAAAACCCGCCATCTTGTTACCGTGGCGACGCCCAGACAGAGACAGACAAGGAGAAGAGAGAGAGACAGTTAGCCTAGCAGTCTTGAGAATATAACAACACTCAGCTCCTCTGGTTAGACACGACATGTGAATCAAACAATATCATCTGAACAGGATACAAACATGTGACTGAGAGCAGCCGCCAGAGAGTGACAGTTCACACAAACCATATTATTCATCACAAATTAAGATTTAAATAGACCCCTGTACAGGAGAACTCATTATTATCGTCGCCATTATTATCATTATCGTCATCATCATCATCACACATACAAGCAGCAGAACCACTGATTCAATATTCAACTCAACAACAGCCAGATCTCCCCCCCCCCCGACGCCAGACAAACCTCTCTGTGGTCTGACACACATTCAGCTAACACACACACACACACACACACACACACACACACACACACACACACACACACACACACACACACACACACACACACACACAACCCAGATAACAAAATGACACTTCTGGCCCAACACACGCCTGGTCCTCGGCCCGAGTCTGGCCCGTATACTTCCACATCTGGCCAGAGTCCAGCTGTTATCCTCTGTTATCTTACAATCCTGATGTATCTGGGCCAAAATCGGGCCGTGGAGCTTTTGCTACCTGGGTGGACAGGTGACGCACAATGCTAACGAATACACAGCCAAGGCTGGAATTACACCTACGAAGATACACAACACCTGTGTGTTTATATGAAGAGGCAGACTCACAATCAGTAGATCCAAGACATCCACACAACAACAGCTTCACCCAACATGTTCCAGAAGCTTCATCCAGTCTCAACACACACAACTGCTAATGGACAGACACACACACACACCTGCTGGCTAACGCACACCGCTAACAAACACACACACGGTTAAGGCTGGAACAGTACTTCTACAAATATATAAATGTCTCTGTGAATTTATACAAAAGGGTGTTACAGGTGACTGAGGGTCGAGTTACAAGTTTTCAAATAACAACGCGGCGAGTTAAAGAAGCTGATTGGTTGATCCAGGAAAACACAAAATCCTTTTACATTTGTACAAGTATAAAAAAAAAAAAAAAAAAAAACCAACAAAAAAAAAAACAAAAAACTTTTTTATTATTAAAAAAAAAAAAAAAAAAAAAAAAAAAAAAGCCACGAAAATGACAACTGTGCACGTTCGAGAAGCGTAATCCAGTCTTAACACACACTCAACATACAGCTAACACACACACCAGACGGATAACACACACTGCTACTACACAGCTCAGGCTGGAATAATACTTCTACTAACAAGCACTAAACGTATCTGAATTTACTAAAAGAGTTGATGAGCAGATCCACATCCTGTTGGAGGGGGCTCTTTCTTGATTCATCGTTTTAATCTTTTTTTTTTTTTTTTTCTGTAACGTGTCAAAAAAACAAAAACAAAAAAACGCGAAAAATCCCAATATGACAAAAAGTTCAATATGACGTCTTTAAACGCCTCGTTTTGTCCGACAAATAGTCCAAAACCAAACATGTTGAGTTCAATGTCATAAAAGATCAAAAGTATTCACATGTGAAAAACTGAAACCAGAAAAAATGATCAACTAGTAACTAAAGTTCTATAAAAAAAAATGAAATGACAAGTGCATGTTCAAGAAGCATACTCCAGCATTAACACACACAACATACAGCTAACACACACACATTTAGCCAAGGTACATGCTCATGCAACACATTCTCTAGCTAGCTAACGTTAGCGCCATTAAGCTACAACACTCAGAGTTTTGCTAACCTGTTCACTCACATTCTGTTGTGCTAATGAACATTCACACCAGGCCGGAGGAATCAAACACTGGTCTGCTAGCGTCGTTGTTAAATCAGCTAAATTATATTAAGCCTAAACTAGCTACTTTTAATATTTTTACATTGTTGTAGAAGTTGGTTAGCAAGTAAAATTAGATGCAAACAGTTGTGTAGCTTATTTTAAAATAACTGAATGGAATTTATTAGCGTTCACATTTAGATATTAATACCAGCAAAGTTTGTCTGGAGCCATTTTGTTGCTGGTTTACTGGACAGGTCTGTTTTTTTTGTTTGTTTTTTTCAAAATGGCCGACGTGCTTTCACACCATGTCAGCAGAACCAGGGAGAATGTGGGAACATTAGCAGCTCTGCTAGCCATGTAGTTAGACCAGATAAATGGAAGTGAAGCCTTAATTTTTTTTTTCTTTTTTAGAAACTAGCTCACGTTTTTTTCACAATATTCTGATCAGGAGATTTATTGATAATTGAAATAACTGTTAGCTTTACTGGTTCTCAAGTAGTTCTCTTAATTAAGAATTAGGAGGCGGATGTAAACGTTCTGACTCAGTTACTTACTGTCTCAAGCAAAGTTAACTTAGCGCACGTTTAGCTAACAGCTACGCATCCAGCTAGCACACAACAGACACACAGAAACAGTTCAACCACCAAAAGATGTGTAACACGTATGTTCAGTAGAAAATACCGACTGTTAAATTTTAAACTGTGAACGCTCACACTGCTGAGCTCAAACACACGGTTCAGATGTCTGTTAGTTAACTTGTACATTCAGCTAACACACAATTTAGCCACCACATTTATTCTGCTAACACACAAACACAAACACAGCAAACAGCTAACAGAAACAATTCAACCGCCACATTCACACCAGCTCACACACAGTTGAGGTAACACACACCTTTTTGCTACCAAACATTGTTTAGCTAACTGGCGCATTTAGCTAATGCACTCGTTTAGCTAGCACATCGCTAACAGAATCAATAACTTCATTGTTCAGCTCCTAACACATCTGCTACAAACAAGTCTGTAAAGTAGAAATGCAGAACTAAGTTACAACAACAATAATTAAGTTTCACTCTGTAAGAAAATAGTAAGTTTCCCGCTTTTTTGTATGAAAGTCGAGGCGGGGAAACGTGGTGTCGGCTGGAGGTTCAATCCTGTGGAGGACACAAAGTGTTTGACCACAGAGAGATCTGGCTTTAGACAACGCAATATAAATCGTCATTTATTCATCATTACATCATAAAAACTAAAGAATCACTATAGAGATACAGGAATTAGAACTATCATCAAACCAAAAAGAAAACAATAAACGCGTCATTGCACCTCCAAGATGGCGACTAAACAGGTAGATCAAGAACAAACAGACCCAGCGAGCACAGATTTAGTACAAAAAACAGTTTTGTCTCTGACGGAAAAACATGACATTTCCATCCGACGCTATTAAAATAGTTCTATGCCAAAAAAAAAAAAAAAAAGTAACTGAGAGTCAACACACACAATCTGACGCATGCTTTAAAACATTATCATAAACAAAATAATAATAATATCTGATTTTCTTACTCAAGACTGCTAAGCCTTATACCGTTTTCTTATTGGAAAATAAAACTAGACAAAATATAGATTATATTGGATTTTGTTTTGTTCAAAGCCACACTGATACATCTTTAAGTTCAAGTTTGATAAAAAATAAAACAAAAAGAAAAACCAGGTCTACACTGTGGAGAGACCAGACGCTAGTCCAAAAAAATCTGCCCGACAAAATATCAACTTTGTAAGGTTAAAAAACAGAAAGAAAAGAGTTCGTGATTTTTCAGTTAATCCTTAGTTTTTCTCTACAAAAGGAAGGAGGAAGCGGTGGAGCGTTGCTAGGAAACCCCCGATTTCGGTTGCCATCGACGACCATCCGAGGCCTTCACTGGCGAGGGAGGAGCCTCTAGTGATCCTAGAGAGACAGGAAATGACATCATCAACCAGACAGTACAGACGAGAGCTTTGTGTTTGAGCTGAAGAGAAACACGAGTCTCACTGTTAACTCTCTGCACTCCTTCAAACATTTCTCACTATCATGAGACAAATGATGGCGCTCTAGAATATTTAAGTAACGTCATTATTCTAAATGCTAAATTCTTTATCAACAAAAATAATTAATTACTGATGACGTTAATTTAATGACGTTTATCAGATTGGCCAAAATGTAAGACGATATTTTCTCATGGAGGCGGAGCACCAGCTCCAAACAGCTGATAGCAGGGAGGGAGTGGTTTGGTGTGAGGCTGCCATTAAATACATGGGAGGCAAGGAAAATAATTTCAAAATAAAACAGGAAATCATAAATACATCAGACCGCGATGAGTTCCTAACTTTATGTAATAATAATGATGATGAATTCCAAAGAGCAGAAGTCTGGAAAACTGTTTTTCTTCCTGTAAATTTCCACCAGGAGGATGATGGGAAATAATCTAGTCTTGCAAACAGTGACCCTGTAAGGATCCGGGTGTCAAATCAAACATTTCAACAGTGGAGAAGGTGAATTTAGTACACTGTAAAAAAATTTAATGAAAATATATTTCCACAAAAAAATATTACTTACAAAAAAGCTCTCCATCTAGCCTAGCGCTAGCATTTTAGCCTAGCGAGCTAATGTTAAGACAAGTAAACAAGTAGACTGTCTTTTCTTTTGGTTCTTCATTCATAATAAATGGTTTATAAATACATTGTGTTTTATTTGTTTTTCACATGAAATATTGGAAGTTGCACAAATGAAGCTCTGAGGAAGTTTAAGAGTTGTGACTTTGACGTCCTCAAAGTCTAAAGAAAAAGAAGAAAATCACTGAAATCTGTCCTGGGGATAAATGTCTGAGGTAAAACATGTGTTTCTGAAGCCAGAAATGGCGGCCATCATGAAATTTAAACATTTCAAATGGCTAATGGGAAAAACATACCAATGCTGGTGCTTGTATCCACATGTGAAAGATCACTGCAGTTACCTGCTGCAGCGTCAGTCAGGACGGAGAGTTTAACCTGCAGCTGTTTCTGCTGCGACGTCTTTAAATGAACCTCGACGTCTTCACAGAGAAAATGTGTCACAGCTGTGAGTCTGACAAAAACTGACTGTGACCTTCAACAGTCTGACAGGAGAGAGAGAGAGAGAGAGCCTGTGGCCAAGAGACAACCGACACTGATGTGTTTTACTGCTTCACTTCCACCAGAGTGAAAGCTTCATGACGACGACTCCGTGGATTCATCCCACCTCACACCTGTACCTGAGTTTCCACTGCAGCATGATCGCTTCACGTCACCTCCCCAGCTACATATGACAATTATATAATTCATCAAGTGACATGGCCCAAAGCTGATGGAGAACTTAACCAATTTAAAAAAGAGAATGTGTCCTAAGAGGGAAGGTCTAGGTCCCTGTGTAGTTATTACTATAACCCCGGTATAAACATTCAGGTTAGAGGTTCTGGTGGGTGGAAAGGTTCCAGGTTCTATGTTCTGATTCGTGGAAGGTTCTAGATCAGCTCAAACAAAGGTTCTGAACGTGCTGATAGAAACTTCAGATTTAGCTTCATTAGTTTAGAATCAGGTGAATGTTGCATTTAGGGAATAAATCACAAGCTTTATAGAGACTGCAACACAAGATCCTTCAGTCTCCTCCTCCTCCACTCAAACTAGTTCCAGGTTACATCCTGTTTATCCAGTCAGAGAGAGTCAAAGTAGTTTCTAAGGTCACAGTGACCTTGACCTTTGACCAGTCGTTACTCCCTACCCGCCCTGGATCAGCAGAACATCCCATCTCAGGGACTCTGTAAAGGAACCAGAACCAGGAACCTGCAGGTGAACTGCAGGTCAGGTGGTTCAGGTGTGTTACCTGTATCTGGGCGGGGTTCCACAGGTAGGGCTGCTGTCTGTAGTATTCTGCTAACGCTGCAGTGTAGTCTGGCACCGAACTCTGCTGAGACGACTGACCTGCAACACACAACACCAACCATCATCACAACGTCCCGCTGACCCTGTCGCAGTGAACGCACAGCGACACATCAGCAGCTGGAGGATGAACATGTGATCAAACAGCTGTTTCTCTGCACATCCAGCTGATGATCCACGTGTCACCTGATGAGTCTCAGTCCAGTGTTCCCGCTCTAACATAACATAAGAAGAGGACAGATGTTTACAGATGTTTCTGAGAACAGCTGGATGAGAGTGAACCAGAGCAGTAAACAGATAAACACTGAGCTGTTTTAAAATATTTCATTCTTTTCACTCACGGTCAGATCTTCTATGATAATGTTGGTGTTTTGATTTCTTATGCTTCATTATATTTATCTCAGGTGCTTTTCTTTAATGTGGTTTCACTTTCTTGTAAAGCACTTTGTAACTTTGTTAAGAAAACTTATATAATTAAAGTTGTTATTAATATTGATGTTTCGTCTGACTTCATACAAGCGTTTATTTGACCCTGAATCTCTCCAGTGTGACGTCCTCTGACTGTCCAGCTGTTGAATCCAGCTGTTGGATCCAGAGGAGCTGATCATCATCTAAGGTCACAGCAACAGGTTTAATGAGTGGGAAGTAATAAAGAGTTTTTGTTGTCCTGGGTTTCGTCTCTCAGGCAGCAGGGACACCTCCCCTGTTGGTGCATCTATTGGGGGCTGTGCTCAGTCCTTGCACCTCCTCTCATGTGTTAAAACCAGATGGAATAATATTGACTCTTCTTCTAAAATACACTGAAGTGAACATTATTATTCTGTCGCGGGGGGGGGGGCAGTGAACCTGGTGGAGGGACGAGTCCTGGTGCAGGAAGAACTCATCACACTTTGGAGTTTTTAAAATCACTTTCCTGATCATTGTGAGAGTGTGAAGAGTCAACTCCTCAGGACATAACGTTTGGATGTTGATGTGAAACAATCAGACGTTTAAATGATGTGGATCAATGAGTTTGAGTTTGTTCAGTTTGGAGCAGAACCAGAGGATAATCTGGATCTGAGGCCGGACTGTCGCTCAGAGCTCAGACAGCTCAGCACACTCACAAATACAACGTGATTTCTCAGTAACGATCAGAAAGCTGAGACTAGACGATTAGAGCATCAGTGATGAAGTAGCTGACACAGCAGTTATCGTTTGTGTTGAACTACTGTTGAATGAAAAGCTCAGAAAACTGGTAATAATTAGTCTTTCCTTAGTTATATAAATGTCATTTCTTGTGTTGTCAGCTGTTTATCGCTTTATGACTGTGGGTCGTTACTGTTCCCTCATGTGGTATTTTATGTTTTATGCAGTATTTTAATATGTGGTGTGTCTGTGTGGCGTACATCTCTCTTTTGTGGATTTTTTTTTTGTTTTTATGTCAATGGGACTTCCTGGTAAAATAAAGGAAATAAGTTACAGACAGAAACACAGACAGTCAGGTGTCGTACTCTGTTTCTTGTAGTAGTCCTCCCAGGCCTTACTGTAGTCTGTCATCAAGCTCTGAGGCTGGTTCTGCTGACCCACACACACACACACACACACACACACACACACACACACACACACACACACACACACACACACACACACACACACACACACACACACACACAGTTAGTCTGACAGTGAACATCTCCACCATGCAACATGTAACTAGAGCTGCACAGTTAATCAAAATCTAATCAGTTCCTCTTTGAGTCCAGGTGAATGTTTGTTCCAAATGTGAAGAAGTTCCGTCACGGTGTTACCGAGACATCCTGTCCACGAGAATGAGACGGACAGACAGACAACCTAAAAACAAAATGGCTGCCGCTATAAAAAGGAGACAACCTTCAGGGAAATATAACACACAACACGACAGCAAACATCTGTGCAGTCTCCACTCCAGCTGTTTAACTGAACTACAGAAACCCTCCGTGTTGAGACATGTAACTCAGGCCGGACCGACTCAAGATGACGCTCCTACGTAACCAGGAAGTGGAACCTCAGAGACACGATAAACCTGCTCTAACATCACTATGACCTGCGTACTGCCTGTGTGTGTGTGTGTGTGTGTGTGCGTGCGTGCGTGCGTGCGTGCGTGTATGTGTGTGGACTTGCCTAGCTTCTTATAGTACTGCTCCCATGCTTTAGAGTAGTCCATCTGTCCTGTCTGAGCCATATTGTGACCTACACACACACACACACGCGCACACACACACACACGCACGCACGCACACACACACAAAGAGAGTCTTAAACGCTGGACTCAAAAAAACCCAGTGTGTGTTTACGTGTGTGTGTGTGCGTGCAGCAGTGTGTATGTATGTGTAGGTGCTGCGGTTGAGTGATAACTGTCTCAGGGCTTCACTGTGTCAAAGTAAAAGTACAAATACCACACTGTCAAAGTAAAAGTCCTGCACTGAAAATGTTCAGTAAAAGTTTTTCAAAGTAAAAGTGCTCAGACACAACAGATGTCCTCTAGAAACAACACTAACTCTTCTTCATCATCCAAACGTCTGATGTTTCACAGCAGGAGCCTTTGAACGTCACCTGAAGAGGAACTGGTGGTTATCAACGGTGACACCAGTTCTTACTTTAACATGATGGATGGTGGATAAAGATTTAAACACACGACTCATGGTTCCCCCTGTAACCATGACGATTCACAGCTGTTTCATTGACTTTGAGTTTATGTCACATTTGTTTATGATATCAGATTACTCAGCTGATGTCTGTGATGTCAGAGAGACTGGTTCCTACATGGAACTGGATCATATGTGGAACTACATAGAACTGGTTCCTACATGGAATTGGATCATATGTGGAACTGGATCCTTCATGGAACTGGATCATATGGGGAACTAGATAGAACTGGTTCCTACATGGAACTGGATCCTACATAGAACTGGTTCCTACATGGAACTGGATCATATGTGGAACTACATAGAACTGGATCCTTCATGGAACTGGATCATATGGGGAACTGGATCATATGTGGAACTACATAGAACTGGTTCCTACATGGAACTGGATCCTACATGGAACTGGATCCTACATGGAACTGGTTCCTACATGGAACTGGATCCTACATAGAACTGGATCCTATATATAACTGACTATCAGAACCTAAGATCCTTAATTCAGACACACAACATGTTGTCGAGAGTGAGTGTGTGTGTGTGTGTGTGTGTGTGTGTGTGTGTGTGTTACCAGGGTCTTGTTGTCCAGGGTTCTGCCAGCTGGTCTGGTAGGTGTTTCCCCAAACACCAGTCAGGAAGGTCTGACCACTGCCACAGCTACACACACACAACACACACATCTCAGTGAAACACATTCCCAGTGAACAGTTACACAAACACACAGTGGGTTTACATGAACAGTACAGCTGTATGCAAACGTCTTGGCACCAGGCCCCCCCCCCCCCCAGCCTGTAAACACTTTGTGCAGCTCCTTCGGCCTCTTCCTGTACATCACCTCAGGTCCTGAGATGTTTCAGTCTGTCCTGCTCAAACAGCTGGTTTAACATCTGTCAGCCTGGAGCTGCTCTCATATCTGTTACAGCCTCCTCTGCTTCACTTAGTGACAAGCACTGACAGGTCCTAACAGGTCAATTAAGGCCTAACGAGTTAATGAAGCTCTGAGTGTTTTAGAAGAAGGAGGCTGCCAAAACTTTTGAACGTGACACAATTACTCTTTAATTATTCTCTATTCATTAAGTTGACAAAATAAAAAGTGCTGCAGGGTCAACTGTAGATCAGAGAGTGCAGTAACATCAATCATTACTAATATCTACTGATTCATTTACTCTGACCTGAAATCTTTGGAATTGAAACTGTCTGCATCAATATTCTGACAGAATCTGCGACAACAACAAACCAACAAATAAGAGCACGTCAACAGGTCAGGCAGCCTTACATTACATTACAAGATTTAGGTGGTGTGTTTGAGGACCGAAGGTGTTTCCAGACAGGTGGTGATGAGACCAAGACGATCTCTCATAGACACAAGCCTGTAAGATCATATTAGGGATATTTGTGTGTGTGTGTGTGTCTTACTTCTGGTGTGCAGCTGGGCCCTGGGTGAAGGGACTGAAGCCAAATCCTCCATTACTCATTATACCTGAACCCTGAAGGGAGAGGAGACGGATATTTAGCACATTCCACCTTAAACATAGTGAGGTGTTGTTTGCATGTTGCCGGGGAAACACTGATTAAACATTTTAATATATTGCACCTCAGTATAATGACTCTGAGAGCTACATTTAATTTTAGCTGGGTGTGTTTTTGTGAATGAATCAGACAGATTTTAATTTCATGTTTTTTGAGTGGAGTTTGGTGACAGCAGCCAAACGTGCACAGCTGGAGGAATCACTGTATTTTTAGCACAAAGTTTTGTGAATATCGTGTTATTGTTTTATTAACTGTCATTTTGTGAAAAGTAAAATTTAAAATGTTCAGAAACCAAACCGTCAGAATGAGACTCGACGGTTCAGGTTCAAGACTCGGAGTCAGAGATGACGAGTCTGGACTTTTCATTTACCTTAACCTGGGCAGGGCCGTGTGTGTGTTATCATTTTATTGAGGTGTGTTTGTTTTGCGTACCCCGATCTTGTCGTCTATGAGCTGGCGGGCCAGGTCCATCTGCTGGGCCGTGCCTCTGATGGTGAAGACCCGGGTGTTGGGGTCGGTGGAGGGGGGAGGGTTCCTCTGCAGCTCCACATGGGCTCCAGACTGCTGGTTAATACTCTTAATGGTCTCCCCTCCTACATGTGTGTACACACACACACACACACATACACACACACACAAACATTGTTGACACTGTTTCATCTGAATATTAACTTTATTAACACGATCACAAGGAGACAACAGCCAGAGAAATGAAGTGATGTAACCAGCTGCTGATCAGTGAACACATCACTCCTCCTCCTCCTCCTCCTCCTCCTCAGCAGAATATCCTGAGGTCATTAACTCTTTGTTAACCAAATGAAGAGACCGTTAATAGACCTTTTATGAGATGAGAAACAGTCGATCTGAAGGTTTTCACCCTCTGAATAAATCTCCTTACTCTGCACACTTCATTTATTTATTTAAGACATCACATTCAATATTAATCATTTTCATCTGCAGTGTGTTCTGGAAATATATAAAGCTAATTATTTATTTGATGTAAAGTTTAATTTTTAGCAGCAAAGCTGAGAAGTTGTCAGCATCTAGTTGTTCCTGTCATCTATCATTAACATTATTAATCTTATCTATTTACAGAGGTGGACAGTAACTAAGTGCATTTACTTCAGTTCTGTACTTTTCATGTATCTGTTCTTTACTTGAGTTTATTTATTTGAAACTTGTGACTTTTCCTCCTCTACACTTCAAGACAAATATTGTTCTTTTGACTCCACTACATTTCTATGAAGGGCTGAAGTCACTCAGTCATCAGTCACTCAGTCATCAGTCAGTTGTTTGAGTCAGTTGAGTACTTCAGTATGTTTAAAATCAAGTACCCCAGTACTTTAACTGCAGTAAAAAAGTGAGTGAACGTCTGTCCCTTGTTGGAGGATCCGTGCTCCGACTGTGGAGCTTCATCCTCTTCCTGTCGTCTAATGTTGTTTCTGCTCAGAGTCAATCTTTCTTTTCTAACTGGATCTGATGTTGTCAAATTAAAACATTTAGTTTAATGAGACTTTAGAGCAACAGGCTCTAATGAGACACACACGCGTCTGCGCAGCTATCCTTGTTAGGATGTCGCAATGACTTCCATTCATTGTGGACAGACGAGTCTAACCAGGACCTCAGACATTCTGCCTCATTTTGCTCCCCATTAGGACACACACACACACACACACACACACACACACACACACACACACACACACACACACCCACACACACACACACAAAGAGACCATATGGTGTCTAAACATTGGGTACTTGACATCTTTTTTGCATTGCTGCTTTTATTTTGGAAGCTGCTGCTCGACCCTCTTGACCTCCAACACACAAACACACACACACACACACACACACACACACACACACACACACACACACACACACACACACACACACACACACACACACACGTGAATGGTTTGAGAGGGTTTTAAGTGAGGTTACTGAGGGTTCTCTCAGCCGTTTCCTGCAGATAGAGAATGAGGTTGACGTCTTTAGACGTGAACAGAAGTGAATCCTCAGCTCTACCTTCAGTTTAATTCTCTGAATGGATGAAAACACTGATGATATTTTAGCAGGGCCTTTCCAGTTCAGCTTCTTTCATCATTAAAAACACTAATTCAGTTTTATTTTGAAGCAGTTCAGGAATAAATTGATGAATTAGTGAATTTTATTTTTGTGAGGTGAAGCAGCAGCTGCTTCCATCATGATCCTCATACTCACAAGAGTCACAATATATTATCAATATGATTAATCAATATGCATTTGTCGGCTCTCCTCCAATCACAGAGCAGACCTCATGTCTCCACTGTGTCTCTTTATCTGGATCCACTAGTCTAACTTTTATTCTTATTTTTGTGACACTTTTACTCTGAAGGACGGCTTCCTGTTGGAGAGGAAGCTGTGATGACGCTGCTTGTGATAACTTGACATAAAACTCAATCTCAGCTACACCTTGTTATTGTAGCAGAGACTTTGGTGTATAAGATGATAAAACCTGAGCTGCAGGCTACAAGCCAGACGGACTGTGGCTCATTTCATGAAAGACAGGAACACCAAGTCTCACGGTTTCTACATGTGAATCCTCACGTTAACTTGAAAGATCCAAATGGAAGAAAGATGCATCATCTACTCCTCAGAGGAAACCAGAGTCTGTAACTGTGTCCAAGTCCAAGCTCAACTGTCAACGTCATAGAGAACGGCCGACCAACACACCTGTCTTTAAAGTGTTCAACACTCTGCTGGTCTCTGAACAGAGGAAGAGACATAATAATCCTACTGCCGTCTAATGATCGATAAATCAGTCCGAAAGACTGACGATAAGCTCATCAGATGCTTCCTGAGGCTGGTCACTCTAGTGAGGAGCTATCTCTGCAGGAGGAGCAGGAGGAGCAGGAGGAGGAGTTCCTTACAGTGCTCTCTGCAGGAGGACTCAGTGTGTGTTGTCAAACTGTTTCTACATTAGAAAGTCTGTCTGCTCTTTATCAACCAGTTGAATCTCAGTCTAGAAACACTGTGTTGAGTGAAAACTTCCTGCAGCTGCAGAGGGAAACTGATTTCTCCTCCTACCTTTGCCGATGACCAGGCCACACTTGTCAGCAGGGATGGTGTAGGTCACTTCCTGTAGGGGACCAGGAGAGCCCATAGTCCAATCACCACGACCTCTGACCCTCCCGCCCCGCAGGGCTGAGCCGAAACCATCACGCTCCTGCAACAACAGAGGAATGACAGCGGTTCATAGTGAAGGTCATCTGTGTGTGTGTGTGTGTGTGTGTGTGTGTGTGTGTGTGTGTGTGTGTGTGTGTGTGTGTACTACCTGTGCGGTCTGGATGAGCTCATTGATGAGGTGGACTGCGTGCTGACAGCGGTCTGGCTGTCCTATCACCATGGCAACACGCTCCGGACTGATGCCATCATCTGGATGACAGAGAGACCAATAATTTAAACTGAATAAACAAACACATTCATCGATTTTAAACTGGATTACACTGCGAACTGGATCTAATATATAAACAGACCTGCTTTAATCTGGATTAAACTGGACTAAATTGACCAGAGTTAATCTAGACTACAGTGTAATCTGCTGCTGTAGACAGGTTTCAGACTAGATCACATTTAAATTGTTTCAAAATGGATTATTCTGGTATAAATAGATTAATTTTAATCTGGATTATGATGGTACACACAACAGTTTTAATCTACAGTTTAAAACTGGATCTAACGGGGGTAAACTAGATTACATTATACAGAATAAACAGACCTGCTCTAATTTGGCTCATACAGATGTCACTAGACTGTTTTAATCTGGATCACAGCAGTGTAAACAGACTGACCTTAAGTGTATACTTGATCTGTGGTAAAACAAGATTTAAACCAGATTATACTGGTGTACACCAACATCTAAAACTGAATTATATTGGTGGAATAACACCAGTTTTATTCTGGATCATCCTGGTATACAGAAACCAGTTCTAATCTGGATTAGACTGGTGTAAAGAGACCGATTTTAATATGGATTATACTAGTAGTATACTAGATTTAAACTGGAATATACCAGTGTTTCCTCTACATTCATTTAGCAGTGGCAGCCTGCAAATGCACCACCGCCACATCTCTCCACCTTCACAGCACAGCCTGTGATGATGAGCGCAACAGCGGGGGGGGGGGGGGGTGGGGGTTGGGGGATCCTATTGGAGTTAATTACTCGCGAGAGCGCGGCCTTGAAAGTGACGTCACGTCAGGCACCAGGTCAGAAGTGCAGTCGTGAGGAATAAGGCAGCGAATTACCGGAGAAGAGGTAGACCAGTCCGTCCCCCCCCGAGAGCATGCCCCCCCACTGCTGAAAAAATCCTAGAGGAAACACTGTATACTGATGTTAACAGACCTGTTTGAAGTGGATTATGTTGGTGTAAACAGACTAAATTTCAACCTGATTTTAGTGGCTCAAGCAGACCAGCATTACATGGATGTACTGTTGTACATCTGTTTTAAACTGGACTGTACTGGTGTAGTAGAGTTGTTCTTAACTAGAATATAATGAGGTTAATGGTTTAAACTGGATTATTCTGGTGTAAACAGAGCTGCTTTAATATGGATTATATTAGTTTGAGCAGACTAGTTTTGAACTGGATAAACAGACCTGCTTTAAACTGGATTCGGACCCCCGCATCGTTCTGGATCTTCTTGATCATTTCTCCATTTCTGCCGATCACGATACCAACAGCAAACCTGGGAACTGGAACCTGGAGAAAGACAGGAAGAACCTTCTAATACTGATATAGTGGATCTTAGAGTGTGTGTGCGTGTGTGTGTGTGTTTGTCTCGTACGTCCAGGCTGGTTCCTCCCAGTCGGGCGCTGAAGTCGTTGCGTCCAGACCTGAAATCTCCGTCCTTCTCCCTGATCACCTCCAACACCAGCTCCCTGGCTGCCTGCAGGAGGGACAGAGTCACGTCACGTGCTGTGTGTGTTTGTGCGTAACTTGTGTGTGTTTGAAGATGTGACGACAAAATGTTCCCGCCCTCCAGAGTTTGAAGGTTTTATGGTTAAAACATAAATCTGATGACATTCTGTGTTTTTCTTCTGAAACCGACAGTGAACGTCTCCACTAACAGAACTGTGATGTGTCAGACTCCTCTGAGCCTTAGCGCTCCACACCAAATGTGGATTAATCCGCCGCTGAAAATAGTCCCCGACAAAGTCAGTACTTCCTCCGGTTTGATAGACACCACAGTGAAACGACTGAGACTTTGAAATGAAACTTTATATTTCATATAAACACAAAGAACTTAATAACTAGAATCTCCTCCTCCTCCACTCAGACTAGTTCCTCGTTACATCCCTGTTTATCCAGAGTCAGAGGAAATATCAAATATTTGTGTCAAATTTTGTCATAATCCTCACTAAACACTAGTGAGGTCACACTGACCTTTGACCTTTGACCAGACCAAGTCTAATCAGTTCATCCTTTGGACCAAATAAATGTTTGTACCAAATCTGTTCCGTTAATGTGTAACTGAGATATTGTGTCCACGGGAATGAGACGTATGGACGTACAACCTGAAAAACAATATGGCGGCTCTGACTATCACCGGCGCGGGAGGAATAACAAAAAAAACAAACAAAACAAACACAACAAAAAAAAAAAAAAAAAAAGCAGTATTATCAATTGAAATAGGACAACATAGATAGATGACTGAAGAGAGTAGACAGAATAAAAAGTATGAGGTTTAAGGGAAGGCTAAGCTAAAATAATAAGACTTTAGATTTCTATTAAAAGTAAGTGGCGGTTGTGTCGTCCTCAGACCTCACTGCAGAACGCTGCCTCTCATGTTTCGTTGAGCTCAGGACAGTCTCAGAGCACCTGAGGTGTCCAGCAGAAGTTTACCTTAACATCATATCCTACGTATTCAGGCGCGTGTCCATTCAGTGATTTGAAGACTGATAAAAGGATTCAGTAATACATCTGAGATTATAAAAAGTTAATTTTTGTGGGATTCAAACTCCAGCCAGGGTGTAGAAACACACCAGGATCTTATTAAAGCGGTTGGTACCTGCACTTTGTACGGGTCTCCAGAGATACGAAGAGGTTTGTCGGCTCCTGTCGGCATCGGACCGTCCTGGATCATCATCATCTTCACTCCTGCTCGCTCCTGACACACACACACACACACACACACACACACACACACACACACACACACACACACACACACACACACACACACACACACACGTTCATCAGAAGAACTTGAATAGATACTTCGTGTGTGTGCTCGCGTCACACTGCTGCGTTCTGTACCTGCAGCTGCTTGATGGTGTCTCCTCCTCGGCCAATCACCAGCCCCACCTTACTGGCAGGGATCAGCATCTCCTGCACCGAAGCGCCGCCCTCTCCATCGCTGTGGAAACCAGGGCCGTTTCTACAGCGGTCCACGATCTGGACCAGCAGCCGCTTCGCCTGCCTGTAAACACACCAACAGGTAAAAACACACATGCAGATACACACAAACACACAGGTGGAGGTAAGGAGGAGGTGAAGTGAAACCTACTCGATGCTCTCCGGAGTTCCCGTCAGAGAACACGGCCGCTCCATCAGACCACCGCTGTCTGCACACACACATACAGAAGGGAGGTTACACAGGTGAGCCAACATCTGTCTACATCTGACATCTACTTCATGTTTCCTGACTGTTTGTAGCCTCGACTGAGAACAGCTGATCACTTTTAGAACAACAGCACAATCAGAGAAGGAGAGAGCAATTACCTTAAAGAGGACCTATCATGGCCATTTTTTAGTTTTCATCATTTTATTCTTGGTGCTTTAATGTTCTGAAAAGACATTGTGTTTCTTCTTCTGTGCGTCTCATACTGTTCTCTATTGACCCTCTGTCTAAAATGCTTTGTTAGAGTTCAGGGCTCTTTAAGGCCACCGTCCTCCCTCTGAAGCTTGCCGGCTACTACCACCGTAACTACACGCTCCGCCGATGTCTCGCTGTAAACAAACATTGTGGCTGTTATGGCTTCGGCTCTGAACAAGGACATGATAAGCCTGTTCCACCTTCACAAGCTGGACTGGAGCAGGAAAACAAGCGTACCCAATGTCAGGCAGCCAGAAGAAGGGTAAAGGCAGAAATGTGATGAGAAGTGCTGTGAATCAAGTCCCTTGACAGTCTGCAAAGACTTTGCGTGACAGTACTCATAACCTGGAATACTTTGATGAAAAATCCTTTTGATCTTTCATGTGTGGACACTTCCGGACTAAAGGAATATAAATAATGGAGGAACAGACAGGCAGTCGGACTCTTCAAAAGGTAGGGAGTTTCCACCACTATACTCAAATTCAAATCACAGTAAATACTGATCTGATTTAGGTTTTTTGTCTTAACTGCAGTTTCGATAAAGTTCACTGAGAAATAAAAATGTTTTTGAAAACATCCTCAGTTTTTTTTGTTGCCTCAAACTTCTGCACAGTTCTGTTTCTATCCACACTTCAACTGTGAGACCAAAGTGAACCATGGACGCCTTAACTCAGTCGAATTAAAGATGTTAAATTCTACAGCGGATGAACAAGAGGTGAACAGATGGTCTCACCAGCAGCGATCTGGATCTTGCAGCCGGACTCCAACTGGATCCTGGTGATCTGTTCTCCTCCTCTACCAATGACTGAAGGAGGAGGAGAGGAGAGTAATTTACAAGACATTTCATCATACTCCTTTAACAACCAGCACCTTCATCGAGGTGTCTGCATGTTCAAGTCAAGTGGATGAGCTGAGAGGAGCCAGGTAATCTGAACCTGTTCTATATCAGGGAGAAGAGTTAGGGTGAAAAAGTGCTGAGATAAAAAGATATTGGTCAGGTGAGAGGTCAGTGCTCTGAGTCAGGGACACAGTTATAAGTTAAGTGGAAGGTTCTAGCTTAGCTTAAAGGAGCCATTTGTAAGCATTAGCAGCTGTTTACTTACCAGTCTAGGCAAGAGCTTCAGCCATTGTTGCATTTACAATATGAGAGTTTCTTCAGGACAGACTGGACACTACAGTGACTCGGTATCGGAAAGTGAATCGCAATGTCTTCCAAACTGGTAAGTAAACAGCTGTCAATGCTAACATTAGCTATGCAGAAATAGCAAAACTTACATATAGCTCCTTTAAAATATTAAGAGTCAGATAGAAGGTTCTAGATCAGATGCTAAAGTTCTACCTCAGGTTAAAGGTTTAAGATTAGGTGGAAGGTTCTGGATCAGGTGAAAAGGTTCAAGGTTTGAAGTAAACGTTCTAGGGTAAGCTAAAGGTTCAAATGAGAGGTTCTACTTAAATCTAAAATGTTCTGGTTTGTGGAAGGTTCTAGATCAGGTGTAAATGCTTTGGATTTTGGCAACAAAAAAAGGTTTGGGCATAGGTTAAAGGATCTACACAAAGTGACACAGTTCTGGGTCAAGTTAAAAGTTCAGGACACAGGACAGTTCTAGATCAGCTCAACAAGTTTTAGGTCAAATGTAAAGGCTCTAGGTCATATGGAAGTTCTTAGATCAGGTGGAGAGGTTCTAGCTCAGGTCAAAGTTTTAAGATTAGGTGGAAGGTTCTGGATCAGGTGAGAGGGTTCAAGGTTTGAAGAAAAGGTTTTAGGGTAAGCTAAATGTTCAGATGGGAGGTTCTACGTAAACTTAAATGTTCTGAATGGTGGAAGGTTCTAGATCAGGTGCAAATAATTTGGATTTTGGCAACAAAAAGGTTCTGGCATAGGTTAAAGGATCTATGTCAAGTGAAATATTTTTAGGTCAGGTGAAAGTCAGATTGATACCAGATATGGTTTGATACCAGGACCACTTGGTTGGAAAGAGCTAAAGGTTCAAGGTCAGATCTTGATTCAAATAAACATTAAAGACACGAAGACTGGATCATTGTTCTGGTCCAGACTTGTTCTCTTCATCAGCTCAGTTAAAAACCTAAATCTGACTGGACAATGAAACCCTGAGACACGGGACCAGCAGGACTGCCTGAAAGGTCAGAGGTCATACTCACTGAAGCCCACCATCCTGTCGGGGACCTTGTAATCCTCTGTGATTACCCTGCTGCAACACAAACACAAAGACACACACATTAATATCTCGGTCCCACAGTGTGTGCGTGTCAATAAGTGATTATGTTGATGTGGACTGTAGGAGGACAGATCTATAACACTTATCTACTGTTACACCCCGACACACACACTGATGTCTATTTGCAAACAAGAGTATGATGCTGAATGTCATTATCTGTGTGTATGTGTGTGTATTTAATCAATATGAACTGCTGCCCGTACCTTTGATGCCCCATGGCTGCTAGCTGGTTACCTACTGAGAGACAGAGACACAGATTAGACATGAATGCACCTTTGACTGCAGTGCTGCTGATCTGGTGGAGCTACTGACCAAAGTGTCGCTGCAACATCAACACAGGAGAAAACAGGACATGGTTTTATTTTGTAGCTGCAGCTGCATCCAGCTTTATTCTATATGTTTCTTATTGTCCTCAAATCTTAGGCTACATCCATACTGCTGATCTCCGTCCAGACAAACACAAAAAATACAAAATCCTCTGAAGGAGGAACAGCAGAGACAGTTGTAGCATTAAAACAGAGAATGTAAGTGAACAACAGCTGCTAGCAAAGACAACAAGGTCAGTAACTCTGTCATTCATTATCATGTTGTATTCACCACTGGTAGTCCAGGCTGATGACAGCCAAAATTTTCAAAATAAAATGGATCCAGCAGAGTTTTTTGAAAACCAAGTCATGTGGACATTCGGATTGGATTGGTTTTACAACGAAAATGTAGTAGTGTGGACGTAGCCTTAGGCCCTGTTCAAACCTCTCCACACAGGTGACCGCCTATGATCAGATCTCACTTCCCCACTTTAAACACGTACGTCATTTCTGTTAGATACTTTCTAAATTTGAAATTCATGTGTCCATTAGCTCATTGTGGACAGTTAACGATAAGTGAACAATAATAATCAAATTAGTCCGCTTCCTTTGGCTGAGGTGTTGTATAGGCTGATGTCAGTGGAACAAAGGATCTCCTGAACCTCTCTGTTCTGCAGAATCATAAATGCACTGTTTTTGTTTTTAACCGGTGGGAGGCAGCGTGCACTTCCTGTGCCTGGTCTGACAGAAATTAAAAGAAACGACCAAAACAATAAAAGACTGTTGCTGTGTCTCATGAACTTCCGAATTCAAACTTGCTATTTTCATTGCATGTGCGTTCACACTGACAACAACAAAAGGAAATCTGTGGCTTTTGTCTCTACTGTAACAGCCACCAGACCTGAGAGGACATTATGGATGTGTGCAACAAGTCAAGACTGGTGGACGTTGTCTTTGTATCATTCACTGATGAACAAGGGCTAGTTAATCTTTGCATATAACATTACACATTTGATTTGATATATAACTGCAGCCACTGCTAAACAAAGGAGGTAAACATTTGTGCACGGCCACACAACTGGAGAAGAAGACCGCGGTGACAATTTGGATCCTCGCATCAGATACAGACTTCAAAACATCGTGTGAATTGTTTTGTGTTGGCTCATAAACTGTGTCCAACCTGCAGGTGACACATCAGTGGGAACTCCTAAAACAGTGTCGGAACCAACCTTGTGAAAAATATTTGATTTCCATTGTAGACAGAAGGTCAGGAGAGTGTTCAGCTGCTGGATGAGTCAAACATTTAGATTTAATTTTGGATTTCAGATTTGATTTTTAAAATATCTTTATTACTTTATTATTTGTTCTATGGTTAAATTGCAGGTGTTCTGAGAAGAAATGGGTGAGTGAAACACGTGAGAACATGAAAGTGATTACACTAATGAACACGTAGTTTTATTTTCACGCTCTTTGAAAGTGTAGATGAATAGGTTTTTGCTTCATTACACTGTATCAACTGCTTAAGTGCATCAAGAATGCATCTTGGATGAAATCACATTTAAAGTAATAAAAAGTGTTTTTTACATGCAGCTGTTTTTTCTTCTAAACCAACTGAAAGCTGCTAATCAGCTTCAATGGTTCAGTCTTTAATTTTTAAAATCAAAAGGATGGGGTGTATTAAAACATATTCAGGCACTAAAGTGATGTGTGTTAGAAGGATGGTGGCAGTGATGGGGGGTAGGGTGGGGGGTTGGGGGTAATCTTATTTCTGAGATAAGGCGATCTTAATTAGTCAACACAAAAGTGACAACAGCCGGGAGACTTGTCATTCAGTTCAGGGTCAGTGCTTCCAGGGAAGTTGATGAGCTGGTATTGTTCAAATGTTCCATATTTAGAAAGTATTCTATTAAACACATTTAAATGTTTATTTCATTTAAAGCTGCCCTGTGAGGGTTTGTCTCACTCTACATGTTGGTAATAAGTCGGATTCATAGATTATCCTTTAGATACAGGGAAATATTAGGAAGCTGTCAGGCTGCTTTTACTGAAGTGAAACTGCTCATGTTTACAGTGAGCAGGTTCAACACCTTCAGAGCCCAGACTGAATGTGGAGGTTTCCACACATTTGGATATAAACAATTTTTCACTTTGTTTAGAGCTTTCAGTCTCAGAGACCTTGAGAGTCGCTCTGATGAAGTTCTAAATAGAGTGAAACACAACATTGGTCCACCTGTGAGGAAATGTTTCCTTATATGTTTGCTTTGTTTCGGTAAGCAAGGATTTCATGCGACAACATCAGGTCTCAGATAAAACGTTTGAAACATTTGAATTTGATGACATGCCTAAATTAAACTCGGTGGTTTATACGCTTTCTGCACTTGTGTCTCGTCACTGCCAGAGATTCTCTAGGAGATTCTCAGTCAGTTCAAGACATCCTAGGACAGGTTAAAGGTTCTTGATCCTGTGGGAGGTTGTTCGTAAGATAAAAAGATTCAAGGTTAGGTGAAACGTTCCAGCTAAGGCGAGAAACTCAGTTAAAGGTTCTCCTCAGCTACAAGGTTCTAGGTCATGTGGAAGGGTTTAGCCCAGGCTAAAGGTTGTAGGTCAGATGAAAGGTTCCATGAGGTTCCTGATCAGGTGAATAGGTTCTAGGTAAAGTGAAAAAGTTCCCGCTCAGGTTAAAGGTTTCAGATTATGTGTAAAGCTGCAAGGACAGGTGGAAGGTTATAACTTAAGTTCATAGTTCTAGTTATATAGAAGGTTCCAAGTCAGGGAGCAGGATCCAGGTCAGGTAGAAGATTCTATGTTAGGTGGTCGGTTCCGGCCTAGTAGAAAGTTCTGGACCAGCTGGTAGATAGTTGGGTGAAAAGGTTCTAGTTCAGGTGAAATATTGTGGCTCAAGTAAAAACATTAAAGTTTAAGTGAAAACATCCTTCTTGGATATTTCTGATCCTCCACCTCCCCTCCTCACCTCCGTCCTCTCCTGGTCGTTTCTGGCCAGGGTAGTACAGCGAAGGCTCGACACTTCCTGAGGAGCTGTTGAGGTGGGACATGGCTTCACCACCCATCTTACCCACCATCTGAAAAACAGACAGAAAAACAGCTGTCAACACCTGGATGTTCGAACAAACTGGATAAGGAGCTCAGTACCAACCCAGCAGAAACATAGTATGACACAGTAGCAACAGAGATTTCATTGGTGGGACAACGTCTGTCTTTTATGATTGTAAAAGACTCTGGCAAACTAAAAAACAGCTTCTATGGTAAAATCCAGTATACTGTCAATACCGAACCAGTTTGAACATTTTTACACCAGCCCAACCCTACCTGAAGAAATAAGACAACAAAGACAACAGATCGAGTTCCAAGTCAAGACCAAGCTGCCCCAAAATCAAGTCCTAGGTTGACACAAATGAGATCCAAGTCAAGTCCTGAGTCATGACCAGTGAGTCTGAAGTAGTCCCAAAGTCAAGTTCCACAATATGACCAACAAGTCTTAAGTTGAAACAAACAAGTCTAAGGTCAAGTGCCAAGTTCTAAATCCAAAGTGACCATAGTGAAGTCGAGATTAACAAGTCTGAAAGTCCCAAGTCAAATCCATAGTTGAAACTATCAAATCAAGTACAGGTTCTAAGTCCCCAGGTCAGGTTCCAAGTCAAGACCAACAAGTGCAAAGTCAAGGTCCAAGACAAGACGGAAAGTACAAAGTCAAATCCCACAGAGACCAGCAAGTCTGAAATGAAGCACCAAGTAAAGACTTACAAGTCCCAATTCATGCTCCAAGCTGAGGCCAACGAGTCTGAAGCCCTCAGGTGAAACTAGGGGTGGGCGATATGACGATATTAGATCGTGAAGGATTACAACGTGAAGACGATCTTTCAAACTGCAGAGATCGTGGGATCGTCTAGGGCACATTCTATAAATTGCAGTTCTATGCTGACGCACCGACGCACCAGACGTATTGACGTCTTCAACCTGACCGACCAATCATAGCGAATTACGGGCAGTGACGCGCTTTCCTACCCGCCTCCTTGTTTGTGTGTGTAGCGGTAGCACATGGAGAGCGATGGCTGAAAGCCAAACGGAGTTGGTCGCTAAAACAAATTCCACCTCCATTATATGGAATTGGTTTGGATTTTCTGCAACTGATCAAGCGCAAGCAAATGTAATCGGCAAAGTTTGCACAGAAACCGTTCGCACGTCGGATGGTAACACGACGAACCAGAATGTTGTTGTTGTTTACCTTAAACTTTACGTTGTTTGCACATGCAGGCAAAACTGCGACTATTTGAAATAAAATCTGTTAAGAAAGGTTCTTTGGTCTAAATTGTCTGTTTTTCTTTTTCCAATTTAAGATCGTGATAAAATCGAAATCGTGATTTTATTTTTAAAAAATCGTGATATGATATTTTTGCCATATCTCCCACCCCTAGGTGAAACCAACAGGACTAGAGTCTAATCCCAAACCTTGACCAATTGAGCCTAGATTCAAGTAACACGAGTACCAAGTCCCAGGTCAAAGCCAATATTTCTTAAGTCAAGTCCCACATCAAGACTTATACGACCAGAATCAAGTCCCAAGTCAAGCCCGACTCCTAGACTTTGTGTTTAGAGTGTTAAACTGATCCTGCACCTTTACAGAATTTAATGTTTTATAATAAAATAAATAAATGACAAATAATTAACACATTCTAAAATATATTTTCAGTCCAAGTCATGTGACTGGAGCCATTTGACCTGAATTCACTATGAAAACAAAAGTGAAAGATGAGTTTTCTAATGTGTGTGATTAAGTAAACAACAAAACCTAACAGGAGGATGTTCAGAGTGCAGCAGGTCTATCTGTCAGGACGACTCAGAGGACAGTTAGTGTCAGAGGTTTGTGTTGTTGATGTTCCAGCAGAGCTCAGTTCAGTCTAAACAAACTGCTTCTTCCTCCCTCCTTGTTCTTTAACAGGAACCTTCCTAATAAGGTTCCTTATTTGGCTGCAGAACTCTGCACAGTCGTGTTGGAGCAAGCAGCTGCTGCAGATTCAGCCTGATAGATATGTTTCATAACTTCATGACTAATAAATACAAACAAACGTTCAGTGTTTAACTGTGTTTTCTCTGAATGACACATAAAATACACAGTGTTTAGCAAGATGGATACAACCTGTCTTATGGTAGAAATAATGTTATGTTATAATATTATTGATTACTCTGCGGGTTATTTTCTCAATTAATTGCTGAATTGTTGGCTGTTGTAATTTTGTTATAGTTTTCCAGAGCTGAAGGTGAGGTCATTCATTAATTATCATATATGACAAACTAGAATCACGTCCTCCTCCACTCAGACTAGTTCCAGGTCACTTCCTGTTTATCCAGAGTCAGGGAAATATTAAATATGAACCATTTGTGTGAAATTTTGTCATAATTGCTGTGAAGTCTCGAGTTACGGTTAAAAAGTGTTTTGTAACGTCACATTGATCTTAACCTTTGACCTTTAGCCACCAAAATCTAATCAGTTCATCCTTGAGTCCAAGTGAATGTTTCTACCAAATGTGAAATAGTTCCTTCAAAGCGTCACTGAGATATCGTGTCCCCGAGAATGAGGCGGACGGTCGGACGGAAGTGGAACTAGTTTTCCTTGAAAACAAAATTGACGATTAATCAATTGTCAAAAGTGTTGCCAATTGACTGACCGACAACACAGACTCATGTTTTTAGGTGGATTTTACGGTGAAGGTCCAGTCCTCTGACATCAGAGTGAACAGCTTGTTCACAGCTATTAGCTTTTAGCTGCAAGCTGACCTCACCTTGACTGAAGAGCACACTTCAAAACACTGCCAACACACACACATACACACACACACACACACACACAGGTAACCTTGAATGACTTCATGATAAAGAGAAGCAGAGAAAAGAGCAGCAGTGAACCCAGTGAAGATACCTGCTGCCCTCAACACACACACACACACACACAAACACCACACACACACCATCACACCACACACACACCACACACCACACACACACACACACACACACACACACACACAGCACCTATTTTGATCAATATTGAGATCACGATTATTCAACAAGATCAGTCACTGACTCACGACGCACTTGGACTTTAAATACAATCCAACGGAAAAACAAATAAAAAAATTTAATTAATCAATTATTGTTGCAAAACAGAATATAATTGTTTTATCTCCACTATCTTGTTTTCATAATCATTGGCAGACAAAATAGTAATTGAAAACAACAGATTAATCACCCAGCCCTAATCAATTATTGCTTTAACCATGTCATTGATACAAGATGGCCATGGGATTCGATATTTAGATTTTTTGTCGTCTTTGTCGAGCACTTTGCAACGTGAACGTTTTTGAAAAGTGATCTATGAATAAAGATTATTATTATTATTATTATAAATTGATTATTAATTGATAACTATCTTGATAATCGATTAATCATTTGAACTCAAACACATGTCAGATTTCTCAGTAAACCGAGGACGTCAGCTTGGGTTCTGGGAAGCTGATGGACATTTTTTTCCACAATTTATTGACATTTCATCGACCAAGTGATTAAGCAATCAATCAAACTAAATAATTATCAGATTAATCAATAATTAAAATAGTCACTAGTTGAAATCATGCGCATCCTGATGAGTCACAAATGAAAGGAAACACCTGAATAAATGAGCTGCAGATGCTTCCACACAGGTGGTACAGTGGAGCAGTTGACATCCCATCATGCACTGGGGCAGATATGAAAATACAGATGAGGTCCAGTTGATCCTGTTTCTGTATCAAGAGGAAAATGACCTGAGTGACTCTGAAAGAGAGGTCAGAGATGCTCAGCTGGTGTTTCCATAGCAACAGAGACCAAAGTGACATCTGCATTCAGATCTATGGGACGGACGTCGGTGAACAGGGTCGGACATCCAGACGTGATCAGACAGGATCCTTCAGAGGGACACAGGTGGTGAAACTACAGTGGTGCTTCACTTTAAATGTTGCTGCAGCAAGGAATTGTGGGACGTCATTTTCTCCTTTCCTTTGGTAAAGGAAGCTCCAGGGTTTCCTCTGCTGAAGGAGACAAGTCCTCCGCTCTGATCATGGCTGCCGCTAAGACACTTAATTTCACTCAGTTAGGAACTACTTTTCGACCGCAGCACAGCTTTCAATGCTCACTGCGTTTGTGCTGTAGTGGACACAAACTTACAGACTTTATTATCGTGTGAATATTCAGCAGCTCTCACTGCTGTCTGATGAGACGTGACGTCCTGCTGATCAAATATTACACAACAGCAACAGCTGTAACAGGCTACAGCTAGCACCGCTGCTTTAGCTACCATTACTGTGTATCAGCATCAGGGTTTTTAATTCACCAGGAGCCTGATAGAGATTCAAATGTCTGTTTATTCCTCCACGCTGGCGACAGTCAGAGCAGCAGCCATTTTGTTTTCAGGTTGTCCGCCTGTCTCATTTCCGTGGACACGATATCTCAGTAACATCTTGACAGAACTTTTTTAAAATTTGGCTCAAACATTCACCTGGACTCAAGGACGAACTGATTAGATTTTGGTTGATTTTAAAGGTCAAAGGTCAAGGTCAATGAGACCTTGGAGCCATTACTCAAGACAATTGATTCTACTTTCAGAGGCGGCAATAACACAGAGTTACAAACAATGTCAAACAGGTAATAAACAAAATACGCCACAAAAAGATCCAGGACATAACGCCAGCTAATTACATGTAGCTCATCTCTGTGTCCCTACCCGTACAATCACAAAGAGACAAAACGACCACAAAGAGACAAAGAGACAAAATTACCACAAAGAGACAAAATTACCACAAAGACAAAAAATTACCACAAAGAGACAAAATTACCATAAAGAGACAAAATTACCACAAAGAGACAAAATTACCACAAAGAGACAAAATTACCACAAAGACAAAAAATTACCACAAAGAGAAAAAATTACCACCAAGAGACAAAATTACCATAAAGAGACAAAATTACCATAAAGAGACAAAATGACCACAAAGAGACAAAACGACCACAAAGAGACAAAACTACCACAAAGAGACAAAACGACCACAAAGAGACAAAATGACCACAAAGAGACAAAACAACCAAGAAGAGACAAATTACCACAAAGAGACAAAACGACCACAAAGAGACAAAATGACCACAAAAAGACAAAATGACCAATGACAATAAAGAGACAAAACGACTACAAAGAGACAAAACGACCACAAAGAGACAAAACTACCACAAAGAGACAAAACGACCACAAAGAGACAAAATGACCACAAAAAGACAAAATGACCAAGAAGAAACAAATTACCACAAAGAGACAAAATGACAATAAAGAGACAAAACGACCACAAAGAGACAAAATTACCACAAAGAGACATGACAACAAAAAAGACAATATTACCATAAAGAGACAAAATGACCACAAAGAGATAAAACGACCACAAAGAGACAAATTACTACAAAGAGACAAATTACCACAAAGAGACAAAATGACCACAAAGACAAAACGACCAAGAGACAAATTACCACAAAGTGACCAAACGACCACAAAGAGACAAAACAACAATAAAGAGACAAAACGACCACAAAGAGACAAAACGACAATAAAGAGACAAAACGACCACAAAGAGACAAAATTACCACAATGAGACAAATTACTACAAAGAGACAAATTACCACAAAGAGACAAAACGACCACAAAGAGACAAATTACCAAGAAGAGACTAAACAACCACAAAGAGACAAAACGACAATAATAAGACAAAACGACCACAAAAAGACAAAATTACCATAAAGAGACAAATTACCACAAAGAGACAAAACGACCACAAAGAGACAAAACGACAATAAAGAGACAAAACGACCACAAAGAGACAAAACGACCACAAAGAGACAAATTACCACGAAGAGACAAAACGACCACAAAGAGACAAATTACCACAAAGAGACAAAACGACAATAAAGAGACAAAACCACAAAGAGACAAAATTACCACAAAGAGACAAATTACCACAGAGAGACAAATTACCACAGAGAGACAAAACAACCACAAAGAGACAAAGAAACAAAACGACCACAAAGAGACAAAATGACCACAGAGACAAATTACCACAAAGAGACAAAACGACCACAAAGAGACAAAACTACCACAAAAAGACAAAATTACCACAAATAGATAAATTACCACAAAGAGACAAAACAACCAAAAAGAGACAAAATTACCACAAAGAGACAAAACGACAATAAAGAGACAGAACGACCACAAAGAGACAAATTGCCACAAAGAGACAAATCGACCACAAAGAGACAAATTGCCACAAAGAGACAAATCGACCACAAAGAGACAAATTGCCACAAAGAGACAAATCGACCACAAAGAGACAAATTGCCACAAAGAGACAAATCGACCACAAAGAGACAAATTGCCACAAAGAGACAAATCGACCACAAAGAGACAAATTGCCACAAAGAGACAAATCGACCACAAAGAGACAAATTGCCACAAAGAGACAAATCGACCACAAAGAGACAAATTGCCACAAAGAGACAAATCGACCACAAAGAGACAAATTGCCACAAAGAGACAAATCGACCACAAAGAGACAAATTGCCACAAAGAGACAAATCGACCACAAAGAGACAAATTGCCACAAAGAGACAAATCGACCACAAAGAGACAAAGAAACAAAACTACCACAAAGAGACAAAATTAACAAAGAGACAAATCGAACAAAAAGAGACAAAACGACCACAAACAGACATTTTGTGTCTCTTTGAGTCTAATATGTAGGAAGGGGGGCATGTCTGGACTCAGGGAGCAGACAACTGGTGGATTAACCAATTAAAACATAAATAATTTAAGTTTTTTTTTTTTTAAATCAACACTTGGATGAACCTGAGGGTGAGAGTTAAACTCTTCTGTCAGCAGCAGGACAGAAAACATGTTGAGACTTTTGTCAATTACATTTAACATGTTTTGATGGTTTCTAAGGCCTTTTTTTAAAGGGATGTGAATTCAGTAATTTTAGACTTTTAAAAGGAGTTTAATTCAGTTTTAAATAGTGAGCAGTTTCTTCAAAGCGTCACACATACACCTGAACTGAACATGGTATTAACTGAATGACAGAGAACGAAGGGCCGGATTTCCCTCCTGAGCGCCCCTATCAACCCCCACTGTACACGCCGTCACAACTTTCATAAATAAAATTACTCTTTGTCGAATTCACTGGTGCCAGTTTGTCAAATGTGAGTATTTGTTTTTTTCTCTCCGACAGTGAACTCACGATATTTGTGTTTCAGACAAAACAAGACGTTTGAGTGTAAACTTAAATAATCAGGCCTTTTTCACTATAATTTATTCACTGAACAATCAGTGGATTATTAAAGAAAAATAACTGTCAGATGTTTTTATGATGAAATAAATCCTTGGTTTCAGCCTCACAGTTCACCTGGGACAGAATAATACGACCTTACCTGAGGTTTTCTGTCTGTTAACGACTCAACACAGAAAAAAAATCAAACAAAGTTGTGATAAGACACAACTCTCGGCAAACGACCACAATATGAACTAAAACTGTCCAAATCTTAAAACCAGTCCCTCTACAACACCAGGACCACAGGGTGGAGAACAAGTTTCTGACAACCGTACGATTAATCACATTATTTGGACCTGTGAGGAGGAACCTGGGGCGGCTGCCCACGGCGCCCGGCTGTTGATCCAGTCTTGTTTGCATGAAACAAACTTCAGCACAGAGATGGATCCAGTTTATCAGGGAGTGTGTGCACAGGAACATGCTGCTGGTTCCCACACAAACACACACACACACACACACACACACACACACACACATACACACACACAGTGAAGTGGTTCAACGTCCTGACTGACTGTCTGTATGACTGTCTGTCTGACTGACTGTCTGTCTGTCTATAGGAAGCAGACACACCTCCCCTCGCTGTATATGGTTCTGAGGCTGTTGCATAACGCCAGCCTACTTTCTAACCAACTTACAGTAAACAGCAGCCTATAAGGGAAGGGAAGGGGAGGGGAGGGGGTGGCGGAGGGGGGGTCCAACTCTCATATTAACTGCTGCAAAGCGGATGAGACTTTAACACAGTGTGCACGCACTCATTTCAGTGAACCCCCCCGGCCCGTAGAGGACAGTTAGTGGCTGATTAAAGTCCTCACCGTTTCCACCGTGTTTCTGTCCCGCAGCCCAACAGGTTGTCTGTCTGCTGCCTCAGTGACACGTGTGGCCAAACTTCTGTCCTGCTCCCACCCCTCCACCCCCCACCCACCCCGGTCCCACTGCGCTCCCTCCGGGTGACAGCTCCACAAAGTGCCCCTAAACTAACTCCCGGATCGTGTCAGCCCGGACAAAGTGTGCAAAACCGGCCACAAGTCCAACTCCGAACAGCTTTCCGAGCTAGTTAGCATGCTAGTGTGTTTGTGAGTGTGTGTTGACGGAGCATAAGTTCGGAGCAGCAGCAGCACAACACGGGAGAAATCGAATAAAAGTGCTTTGGCTCGATCTAAACGGCCCGGTTCGGCCCGGAACGAGTGTGTGCTGAGCCCCAGTGGATTGTTACCTGCCGGGCCCTCTGTAAAACATCGGCCAGGCCGTCTGACTTCAGCCCCGGCTGGTTCATCGAGGCCTGTCCCTGCACCAGCTCCGCCATCATAGCGCCACTAGCTAGCCGTTAGCCGTTAGCTGTTAGCCGGATTAGCTCGGGCTGCTAGCTGAGCTGAAGCTGCCGTCAGAGAGCACATAGAGGCAGGAGGTCTCACTCTTAGGGCTTTTTCAGGAACCACAAGGAAGTAGACCTGTTGGGAAAATACAATACCGTGTTTTTTAAAACACGAATCCATTAAGTATTCGCCGTTTATTGAACGTGTGTTTTTGTAAATTGCTTCAGTTATAGGTACGTCATTTATACGACAGCGGTTAGCGGAGCTCTGTTGTTTGTATTTTTTAATTTTTATGTTGAACAGATTTTGGATTATAAACCTTCACCAGTTCTAACAGTGAAACCATTTAAAAACACAGTAAAATATTGTTATTTCTCAAAATATGACTACAAAAATGAAATAGAATAATAAATAAAAACCTGAAATCTAACCAGAAATTAAAACACATATAAATATATTGAAATTGATGCACTTCAATAACTCCATAAAACCCAAAAATGGACGATTCAAATTTCTACGAGTCGCCATGGCAACAGTCTGACATTTTTCAAAAGTTGTGAAATAGAAAGCGTGTTTATTTTTTCTAATATTATCTGAGAACTTAACGTTTACCTGCCTGTATTTAATATCACGTGACTTTAGAGACCGGCTGTTTGAGATGTATTTGACAATTTATTGATAAATGATAATTCACGTTTGTTTTTAGATGCTTTGGCAACATTGTTTTTTTCTTCTAAAACGTTCATACCAATAAAGCACCTTTGAATTAGAATTTGTTTTGAGATGTTTTATGTTTCAACGACAGAGTGGTCGATCTCATTCGTAGAGCATCTCTTCCGCTGCTCAGCTGTTGGCAACTCGCTGCTCTGTTTCCGCTTCCGCGTTCAGTCACGTGCTTAAGCCAGCTCCACAGGTGGAGAGCAGAGTAAAGTTTGAGAAGAAGAAGAAGAAGAAGAAGAAGAAGAAGAAGAAGAAGAAGAAGAAGAAGTAGAAGTAGAAGAAGAAGAAGGGTGTGATCGATCAGAGTGATTGGCTTGGTCGGAGGTTGAATCAGCTGTTGTCTGTCAGTAACTCCTCTGAGGTTACTGTGATGTTTGTCTCTGACCTCTGACCTTTGACCTGTGTAAATGTTGCTGTAGAAGATGAACTGTAAACAGTTCTGTTGTGTTTACACTGTGAATTTAAAATCGGCTGTAAAATGAAAGAATTTTGTTGTAAAAAAAAAAAAAAAAAAAAAGATGATTTCATGATCTCAGGGTCTGATGAGGAGTTCAGCTTTACTGGTGACCAGTCTTTACTAGTGGGGAGGGACCAGTACACCAGTACGTCTCTGCTGCTGTGTTTTGAACCAGCTGCAGTTAAGAAGATAGCATTTAGCTTTTAGCTTCTCTGTGATGTTTTAGTTTAAATGTCAGTACGTCTGAACCAGGGGTGTCGTGCTATTTGTTCCCATGGTGACAAGTTTAAATATATTAGTCAACTATAGCTGACCACATGATCAAATGTCGCAACTCATTTATTTACACAAAGAAGATGTCACACTGATACCGCCGTATTTACTACATTACATTATGTCCACATCTTGTTAAATGTCTGTTTTATGTCAGACTGCTACAAAATAAAGAAGCCATTTTTCTAAATAAGTGAGTTGCAACACGACTTTGTCAGAACCAAACACTGACAGACTTTAATGATAATGAATAAAATACAATGTTATTAGTCTTGTTTTGTCATTATTGGAGGGAGTCAAGTAGTAGTAGGAATATATACAGTATGTGATACTTTATATAATGAATCAAGAATAAAACTAAACTCAGCAAATTCAAGTTATTAAACTATGAACACAGGATGAAGGTCTGCTCTCCATTTTAAAAATATATAAAAATATATAAAAATATGTATTGTGTGTTGAGAAAGAAATGTGGGGGAACATACTGCACCTATGATCTGAACATATAGAAATATAGAAACCCTGTTTCTAAATGTATTGATTTTGAATACATGACTGTTGGTCAGAGTTCCTGCCGATCGAGACGTTTCACACAGATTAAATCAACTTTGTAAAAGTGATGATTCTCCATGTTCCTGCAGAAAAACAAAGCACTGAATAAACTGGAGGATTTTTTAAGATAATGTTCTGATTGGTTATTCCTCCTCTGATCAGTCATGTGATCAATTGACAATATGCTGTAAGTGACTGATACATGTGTTTTATTGCTCAAACTCAGCCAACCACAGTCTTCCTCTGACGCTGCTTCCTCTCTGCAGCGTTCACAGATGTTCCCTGAATGTCTCACATGCAGGCAATGTGTAGAGGTTAGCTACAGCACAAATCATCAGGAGCTTTGAGGGGTTTGTAGTTGTCACTGCACAACGTGCCAACATGAGGGGCCGTCAGGGGCCCCAAGCATTTGCCTGGTTTGTGTCTCACCTCTGGACTCGTTGGACCTGTTGTGGGACCTGACGCCGACACCACTGCAGAGTAAAGTAACATGTCATCAAAGGTCAGAGGTCATTACGTCATCAGCAGGTGGATAAAAGGTCAGACTTTAGAAACATGATTCTAACTGAGAAC